GAGAGATAACAGCTACTGGACTTGAGAAACCTGTTTTCCTAAAAAAAAAAAAGTGAATAGAAAGCTTTGAAAATCTGTCTATATTTCCGAGATGAGATATTGTAACTATTTACACTATTTACATTGTTCGAACAGTTGTCTTTATTGTCACATTCACGACGTTTCGACCGTTGTACGCCCCGGACGTCTTCAGGTGATATTTACTGGAATTCGAACTGAATCCTTTATTTAGTCCACGGGGATAGATTGTTTTAATTCCATTTTCCATGCCTTGAAAAAAAATTTAAACTCCTCCAGTACCCGAATTATTTCATATTCAACAGGAAACAAAAGTCTCGTAAAATATTTAAAAATAAAATTGTGAACCATTTTGACAGTCCCAACGAATTAAAATATATACAAACTTTATTACAACTACAAGTGAAAAAATATCTAAGCTTAATATAAAATAAACATTAGCATAAACTATTTCTAAAATAATAAAAGGCTTAGTTAATACAAAACAAAATGATCATAAGGAAAATCTTGAAGGCGGATTATTTTCTGTAACCTGTAATAATTGCCACACGGCCTACATAGGAGAAAACTCACGAAATTTAGATAAAAGTAACCTATTTTTTATCCCCTGTTATGATTTACTTAAGGAACGGTTAGTTAGGATGATCCTTTTGCTATTACAATTGGTTCTCCCAAAGCGGAAATTACTTATGACTCAGCCCTCAGCCTAATAGTTGCAATATCAGAAAACCGAATATCGAGTTTTTATTCGCACCGGGCGGGAAAAAGCTTATGAAAAAAAAAAAAAAAAAAAAAGAAAAAAAGAAGACAAAAAATTTAACTGGGCGTGCCTTCGAATACTATTTATTCTTCACTGCGTATTTTTTTTTCCTTTCTCAGATTGACTGCAAAGTCATGGGCCCAGTCTGCTCACAACAATATCATAAACGCACAATTTCTATTCTCCGTATCAACCAACATTTATGATGAAACCCACCCTTATAATATAAAACGACACTACTCAGAGAGCCCGCGGCTGTTTAGCCCCACCCAAGCCGAGTGTGCCTCTCCACAAATAATTTATCTTGAGATCTCTCCTATATTCTATCGGTGAACTTTTTAATACGTCTTTTTCGGACGATAATGTGCATTCCAACATTAAAACTAATTGCGCTAGAGTCATCAAATTTCAATATGTCTTACATTTAGGCGGAATATCGCAAAATTTAAGATCTTACTATAATATAGATTTTCGTTTTATAAATTTCGTTTTTGTTGTAATATACAAAATGATGCCTTCAACGTTCCATTTTATATGCAAAAAATCAAATTGAAGTTATAGAATAAAAAGCGAAAGATAATGAAATTACATATAAAGCAATTTACAATAAGTTTGGTTGAATAGCATATGAAAAAAGCGATATTACGTGCTGATAGAATTTCAATGTATTATAATAATACCAAGCACGCCTCGTGTCTATAGGAGAATTTAACTTCAGATTTATGCATGATGGATTCAAAAATCATTTGACATTGTTTTGCAAAATTTCTTCTTTCTTTTTTTAATCATTTCACATCAAGCAAAACAATATAGCAACTAAGACTAAGGGGTTAGTGAGAGAATATGAAAAATACTATTAAGGAGATTGGACAATAAAATAAACAGGAGTTATTAGGTTGGTGCAAGAATAATGTTGTTTTTTGACGTTCAACTTAACGACAAAAAACGACATTATTTTTGCACCAACCTAATAAGATTACAGAAGACAAGGATTGACGTTGCTTTCGAAAGCTTCTTTTTTTTTTAATCATTTCACCCGAAGCAAGGCAATAAAGCCGCTAAGAAGCAAGGGATTACTGAGAGTTACAGAACACGAGGAAAAATACTATCAAGAAGTGAGATCAAGGAGGGAGGACAGTAAAAGAAACAGTAATTAAGAATACAGAAGATAGCGATTGACATTTAGATGAAAATTGCACACTGTCGATATAAAGGCATCTTTTGATGGGTTTATGGATATATAACGCTGTAACACCGGTTTGCGGGCGACCACTGAACAGGCAACGAGCCTGATCAATACCTAGATGGGTGGCTGCTTAGTAATACCAGGTTATGTAAGATTAGATGAGCCGGTGGTGTAATGGATAACGGCTCGGAATTGGAAATCGGAGAGAAACTTGGAAAATAATGATAATGACTTGAATTTCTGGGATGACTTATTTATCTTACTCACGGGGCCCGGATTATACTGACCTAGACTCAGTGGAAACAGAGCTGAGCCTTACTAAAAAGTACAAGATATTCCTAGACATATTATAGAGTGCCTACGGTAGCACGAGAGAGCAAACGAAACGACACATACAAAAAGAAAACAAGACAAGAAAAGTTAAGATAAAATTATTTGCATTGCCGACATAGAGAAGCAAGGCGGACTGTTTCTTTGTGGGCGAGGGAAGCGACCTGGAGGATGGGGAGAATCGATACAGCCTAGAGTTGATTCTTGTGTCTGGTCAGTTGACAGAAGTGGCTGGTAGTGACAGTGACGGTGGCAGACTGCTCGCTGGTCCGCAATTCCCGTCGTCATCGGCGTTCTTAAAAGTAGACTGGGTGGATTATGACTCAGCGTTTTCTCACGTCTTTTACTTTAGCGGTGACGTCCGTGATTGTCACATTTTATATTGTATTTTATTTTGTATTTTTTGGAAGAAATTTATATTGTGTGCCGGAGTCCCTGCGCAGAGTGTGAGATTTTTTTTTAAATTTTTATTTTTGCTTTCTTAGCATTCACATCCGACAGAGAGATTATGATGTAGAGTGAATCAGAAAGAGATCTCATTTGAAGCAGAGTATAATACACAGCAGAACGAGAACAATCTATACCATAGATTAAATAGAGGGTTCAGTTCAAAATTTTCTGAACGTTACCCGGGTCGATAGACACCTGAAGAGGACCGGAGGGTGCAATGGCTGAAACATTGTTATGATAAAAACAAAGATGAGGACATTAGTTCGAATGTAAATAATGATAATGACATTTCAATTTTAGACAACATCTATTATTATTGGAGTAATATAGTCAAGTGTTATATCATGAAAATTCGAGCGTTCCATATTATATATCTAATTATAATTTCATATGATACAGTAGAAGGAATTTACTCTTTGAAGCAGTAATATAATGATGCTGATAATGCAATCGAAAAATATAACTTATATTTTTCTCAGGCGTTTAAGAAAGCTTATTTAACACTCTAAAAGTTAACAGACAAAATGGATACAAAGTTAACGTCTGGCGAGATCTTCTGGATGGGTCATTATTAGAAAAAGAAAGCTCGTTCGACAGAGCAAAGGTCATCCAAGATGAAACGCTGTTATTTGATTTCACGGCTAGGATGTCGCTTTGCAATTTTGTGATAAGACGTCGTGTTTTTATTAAAGTTGATGCTTTTCTTATCTCAGCTCACAGGAGAGGTATAATAATACTATTCATTGTTAATTCTTTGATATGAATTTCGAAAAGGTGATAGCGTTGAGCAGATTTGCTTCCTATGGCGAGAAGAAAGTTCAAATACACAGAGAAAAACGGGAGAAATAAAAGGAGAGACAATAAAGGAGATGTAAATAGAAGGAAAGATGATTGGGAGATGAGAAAACAATGGACTAGAAGGGAAAGAAAAAAAGAGAGACAAGCACAATGAAAATGAAAAAGGTAACAGGTATGTTTGTTGAATTCGTTAGAAACAAAGAGAAGAGTACTGAACTGTGACGTGATGTCTGTTCTCCTATATGGTAGTGAATGCTAGACAATCCCCTCACAGATGAAGAAGGAACTTGAAGCAGCAGAAATGCGATTCTACAGAAGGATGCTGAGAATACCATGAACCGTACATGTGAGCAACGACGAGGTTTTAGAAAAAATGGAAACAAAAAGGAAATTTAACTTAACATCAGGAAGGGACAGTTGAAATTTCTAGGGGCATATAACGAGGAATGATGGCTTGGAAAATCTGATACTCACAGGACAGACAGAGAGCAAGGGTAACAGAGAAAAATAACGCATAATTGACTTAATGAGCTTCATTAAATGGATGGCGGAACAGAGTTTTGGAGAAATAACAAAGAGAAAATTTGTCAAGAGTTACAAAGGACAGAAAGTTGTGGAGAGCCATGATCGCTTACATCCTGAGGAGACACAGCGCATGAAGAAGAAGAATCGGAAGGTTTGAAGAGTAAAAAAGGGGATATAACAAAAAAAAAAAAAAAAAAAAAAAATGAAGCAAAAAGGATTAAAGTGAAAAAAATGGTGGTGGGGCGATAACAAAAAAGAAAATAAGAAACAAAAGTGTCGATGCAACGAAATAAAATACAAAAGAACTAAAATAATCTATTATTATTATTTGTAGTAGTAACAGAAATGTGCTCCTCCAGAAGGATGCTGTGGACACCATGGACTGAATATGTGAGCAACAACGGAGTTCTAGGACACACAATGAGGAAAGCGAGCTTAGAAAATCAGATACTCACAGGGCAGAATGAAGGCAAGAAGGACAGAGGAAAACAAAGCATAACATACTTAGTGAGCATGACTAAATGGATGGCGGAACAAGGTTAGGAGAAATAACAAATATATATATATATATATATATATATATATATGTCGAGTTGCGCTGAGGAGGACAACACACACACACACACACACACACACACACACACACACACACATATATATATATATATATATATATATATATATATATATGTAGTAATCCGTTGGTATAATCCAAGCGAGTCCCATTAACACAATATAGAATTTGAAATATTAAATATTAAATGTTAAAACTGACTCACAAAGAGCGTTCAATGTTTATTTTCATTAAACAGAGAAAATCTTTTCGTACAATTGGAATTAAGACAACATTTATTAAAAGCTTCAAAGGACAGGAAATTTTGGAGAGTTATGATCGCCTACGTCCTGAGGCGGTGACAACACATGAAGATTTAGTAGCAGTAGTAATAGTGGCGATGGTTCAAAGCAGAGATGGGCTAAATGAATTTCTATCTATCTATCTATCTATCTATCTATCTATCTATCTATCTATCTCCCCGTAATATATATATATATATATATATATATATATATATATATATATATATATATATATATATATATATATCACACGATTGGAATTAAAATTCCATTAGTTAATGACCATTTTCACCTAGTAATTTTAAAAATTTTAAAATTGCAAGAATTTTTAAACTGTTTATGGTGTCAGTTTTGTAGAAGGGCCCCCTTTTTAAAATTCGTAGGTGAAAATGGTCATTAAGTATCTTAATTCAAATTGTACGAAAAAGTTTGCTCTGTTTAATGAAAATAAACATTGAACGCTCTTTGTGAGTCAGTTTTAACATTTGATATTTAATATTTGAAATTCTATATTGTGTTAATAGGACTCGCTTGGATTATACCAACAGATTACTACATATATATATATATATATACATATGTGTGTGTGTGTGTCTAGTCGCACTGAGGAGCTGTGATACAGCGAAACAGTACTGTCTGAAATGACACACACACACACACACACACACACACATATATATATATATATATATATATATATATATAAAAAGTCCGACAATTATTTTAATAATTTTTTTTAGTCTATACGTCATTTCTATACATACAAATATTTAAGTAAATGCTCTGTTTATCATAGACAGTATTAATATAGGAATAAAGACACAGGGTAAACTTAGCCGACGTGTGTCGTCCTGTGAGGATTTTAATTTGCAACAAGTATTTATTGTTGGTTTTTCAGTTTTTTGTTTAATTAAGAGGTGCTCATGAATATTCATCAGATCAACTGAAAAGTCTAAGTAAATTATGGAAGACGCTAAGTGACGTAATTTAATGTCTAATAAATGAAAGTGACGAAAAGATGCTGAAATCGTACGGAAAAAGAATCAAAGCAGTATCGTCGAGTCATTCGAGGCCGAGATGAACAAGGGCCTTGCGTGCCATTGACTCAGTCCAGGGTAGGCGTGAAAAGTGATCAACTGAATCAAGAAACATCATCAAGCTACCAACGCACCGGAATTTGGAACGTTAGCACCCTTTATGCTTTTAGAGAAAGAGTGGACGGATATGACAATGCCGAAACACCTGAGAGCCACCGCCAGCAGACCAAACACCTGAGAGACACCGCCAGCAGACCAAACACCTGAGAGCCACCGCCAGCAGACCAAACACCTGAGAGCCACCGCCAGCAGACCAAACACCTGAGAGCCACCGCCAGCAGACCAAACACCTGAGAGCTGCCGCCAACAGACCAAACACCTGAGAACCTACCGCCAGCAGACCAAACACCTGAGAGCCACCGCCAGCAGACCAAACACCTGAGAGACACCGCCAGCAGACCAAACACCTGAGAGACACCGCCAGCAGACCAAACACCTGAGAGACACCGCCAACAGACCAAACACCTGAGAACACCGCCAGCAGACCAAACACCTGAGAGACACCGCCACCAGACCAAACACCTGAGAGACACCGCCAGCAGACCAAACACCTGAGAGACACCGCCAGCAGACCAAACACCTGAGAGACACCGCCAGCAGACCAAACACCTGAGAGACCAGCAGACCAAACACCTGAGAGACACTGCCAGCAGACCAAACACCTGAGAGAGACACCGCCAAACAGACCAAAACACCTGAGAGCCACCGCCAGCAGACCAAACACCTGAGAGACACCGCCAGCAGACCAAACACCTGAGAGCTACCGCCAGCAGACCAAACACCTGAGAGCCACCGCCAGCAGACCAAACACCTGAGAGACACCGCCAGCAGACCAAACACCTGAGAGACACCGCCAGCAGACCAAACACCTGAGAGACACCGCCAGCAGACCAAACACCTGAGAGCTACCGCCAGCAGACCAAACACCTGAGAGCCACCGCCAGCAGACCAAACACCTGAGAGCTACCGCGAGCCGACCAGACTGGAAGAGATTGTCCGTTTCTTCTGCCCTCATTGTACTTCCCCACCCCATTGATAGAGGCAGGAAAAATAAGATTATTTTTGTTTTGTTTAGGATCAGAAAGAAACAGTTGAAATGATAAGGAAAGAAGTCTTGGAAAATTTGACACTCACAAGACATACTTAAGGCAAAAGAAGCAGAGTAACCTACTTAACGAGCTTTTGTAAATGGATGCCAAGACAAGCACTGGGTGGGATAGTAAGAAGAAAAAATATTACAAAGATCTACGATAGATAGAATGTGGTGGAGAGCCGTGATTGGCAACGCCCTGAAAAGACACAGCACATAAAAGAAGTTTTACTAAAGAAAAAAGTCCCTGTTTCAATCTCCCATTTTCTCTCCGATGGACATCTAAAATGAAGTGGGAAATTCATATAATCTTTGTGAATATTAATGCCTTTAATGCTTGGAAGAATGTTCATCACGCCTGGTATGGGCACATGGCCGAGTGGTTAAATCAGGTGAACCAGGTTCGAATCTCACCATGGTTAATTTGTAAGGGAGGTAACTTCTTGATGTTGGCGATCCTAGCGGGTGGCTCCTTTGTAAAGTCCCTGAAAACCATGCCATGGGTTGACCCAAGCCTTGTAGATGAAATTAGATAGATGGAAGCATTTGAGAGCCGTCGATAGTTGTGTTAGCACGAAGTCACAAGTCATCATGACCGTGGGTTTGTGCATGTTAGCCTTACTCATGATGTTGATCAGATAATGTACATTCTCCCAGAAACCGTAACTAGTGTCCGCTCAGCATAGTGGCTGTATAAACCAAAGGTTGGCTCTGTTGGCGTTGAATAAACACAAATGCAGGCATCTGCCAATGCGATTGACGTCCTAGTAGACAGGCATCCTCGTATACGAGTGGAGAAGCTATTATACGTTTCCATGTCTCTTCCAAGGGGAAGTAGGAAAGTAAATTTTTCTTCGCACTTTTTCGAAGTGTGTCCACATATACAAGAACCATTAAGGAAATTGCCATTTACATTTGATTTTTTTGTTCCATTTATTCTGCTAGAAACTTCTTTCACCCGAACGATTGCCATCTTCAACCACAGCAATAGATTTCAGCTCACGAGTTTCCGAAAAGACGACATGGTTTCATAACATCTTCAAAAATGTTTGTTGTTAACTTAAAAAATATTTGGAGCTATGAATACCCGACCATTACAAACCTCATAGAATTTATCTTCTATTTTTATTTCTGAAAAAAAAAAAAAAAATAAAAATAGATGTGGTTATAAAAACACCTAAAAGATTTATACGGTCTGTTGCGTCAAAACTAGTTTTTACTTTAAAAAACAGCAACAAACAGAACATGAATTTGATGGCATTTAATTCCGTTTCATATGGATTACACGCATCACATCTGCTTGTCAGCTATCGTAATAATATAGTGACTAAAATAACATACATGATAGTGACAGTAATACATGCGTGTCCAGTGTTATTGATTGGTTAGGTTGATAGATAATAATAAATAACAATTACGTATGTCGGATCGAATGTCCAATTCACGGATTGCCAGTCTTAGTTTCAGAGTCGTTCAAGCTCAGCCATAACTAAAGCGTCATAAATGTTTCTAGGGACAAGGTACTACGATATTCAGGTTTCTATCTTTTAGTTTCAGGGCATTTGAAGTTCGATTCAAAATGCCGGTTTAACATCCCAGAGTGTACCTCGTATCCAAATATACTCGGTGTTATTCTAGACTGGGCTGTTTCATATCCGAGATATCCCGAGGTCTGGCTGATGCTAACTCCCCAGGACATTGACTTATTGCGCCTTCTCGGACAAACGTTTTCCTCTCTCATAAAGTGGAAAGATTATATCGAATCAGTTACTAGGTCTGCTGCTAGGAAAGTTGGTTCACGGTATCGTGCTAGACAATTTTTCTCGCAGAAAATTATATTCCATTATTTTAAGTCTACCATTCGTCCATGCGTTGACTATTGCTGCCACATATGGTCTGAATATTAAAAGATCTTTGATAAAATACAAGAAGAATCTGTAATGTTATTGGTCTTGTCCTGATATCTCGACTTCAGTCATTTCCCCACTGTCGTAACGTAGCTTTCTATAAATATTTTTTATACTAATTGTTCTAACGAACTTTCCTCTTTATGAATTTAAGCGCAGAACTAGATTGGTGACTAAATTTCATCATTTTACAATTCAAATGGCGAGATGTAATCATAAGTTCTAAGTTAACAATTTCTTCTCTGGCACTTCTTTTTTGTAGAACTCTCTTTCAGGTTCTTGCTTTTCCAGTCAACTTTGATCTTTAAAAATTGAAATGCAATGTCAGTCATTATATTCTGCCTTCTAAGTTCCTGCTCTTTTATTGAACCTTCTTAATAATGTTTTGAGATCATCAGGCAGATTGGTTTGTTTTTTCAAATGTGGATCGATTTATGCTTATTTGCGTTTGATTATTTAAATGTACAATAAAATTTCCCCTCCACTGCACACAAAACAACCCAGGGTTTACAAATTACTATTTACTATCGATGCAACTATATATATATATATATATATATATATATATATATATATATATATATATATATATATATATATATATATATATATATATATATATATATATATATATATATATATAGAGAGAGAGAGAGAGAGAGAGAGAGACATACAAAGGCACACATATATGTATCTGTGCTTTTATATTAATATATTAATTAATTAATGCTTAAGTGTTTTTTTAATCTGGCTTAGCGGTAATTCAAACGTTAGGGTATTAATTATAGGTGGTTATGTGTATTTTATTTGTTGGCTGACTATATGTATATAAGGTATATAATATACACACATGCACACACGCGCGCGCACACACACGCACACACACACACACACACACACACATATATATATATATATATATATATATATATATATAAACACTCTTAAATATTAAGGTATTAATTGTGGAAGATTAGGTTTGTTGTTGTTTGTGTGTGTATGTATATATTTATATATGTACGCACACACACATACATACACGTATATATGTGTATATTTAATCGTTTATTTTATTTTATGTTTCTTTTTATTTTTTTATTTAATTTTATTTTATGTTTATTTTATATCTATTTTATTTTATTTATTTATTTTTTAACTAGTACTTAGGTAATTATTTATGAATATACACCTACACTTACCCATTATTTCAGATGTTTTTTTTTTGTTTAAGAGCTTATTTTGGTTTCTAAAGCTAATTATTATTAATTTTTCCTTGAAGTAAACACCCCCATAATATGTTTGATGGAATAAATCAGAGAAATAATGTCTGCTAATTTTTAATAAAATCCGTTCATACTCACGAATAACTTTTCGTGTATTGATGTTAAAGGATGAGAGATATGTGCTATAGCTGTTTAAATTACGGTAATGGAAAACAACGCACATCTTTACTTATACTAATGAACAACATATAGTTTTGTACCACTTGCACCCCTGAAGATGATCTTGAGAGAAGATCGAAAGTACCTGGGAAATGAAAATAAAAGAAATTTAGAAGAGAGGATCATATGTCGTCTCAAGCGAATGTTGAATCCACGTTCGGAGAATGTCCCAAAGCCTCAGAGGCTGTGTTTGAGGAAGTCCGGATTTGTAATGTTGTGCATGAGTAATTGGTTCTCGCGTTTTTATTGATCATGTACGCTAACAACGTTACATATCTATTAAGACCAACAGAGTTTATAACAGAATTTCCCCTAGACCTGTTGCATTGTGGGACGGACTCCAAAGATGTGCTTCCTAGATCACTAGTCGAGGGTCGATCGTTATCTGTCCTGTTCTCAAAAGATGCACCTCTTGTACTTTCCCTTTTCCGTCCTTACAAAAACTCTACCTTGTGTGGCTCTTAGGCTTTGTATTAGGTGAACAATTATTAAAATTTGTTTATTCTGATTTTGAGGATGGAATTATAATTCATTTACAAATGGGAAAAAAATCATGGAGGTTTCCAACGATCGCTCACCGGGGGATGAAGCGAGGAGAAAAGAAACAGAGGCTTGCCACCGGGGTGAAGCGTGCTCGAAGAAAAGAAAACAACACACCGACATCGGGGGAGAGCGTCTTCATATGCATTGGTTGCAGTACAGCCATAACATGCTGCGGCGACGCCATCTGCAGTTGAAGCATAACTTTTGGGACACAGAGTCACGGTCTCTTGAGACCAACTAATGGTATATATATATATATATATATATATATATATATATATAGTGAAAATCGATAGAGAATAATTATATATATACATACATACATATATATATATATATATATATATATATATATATATATATATATATATATATATATATATGTACTAGCAGCATGGCCCGACGTTGCGCGTGCTTGATTCAAAAATCGTGCGACTCATACAGCAATCGCTATCATTTGACTTAAAATATTTTTTGCCCTTCTTTGCCGTTAAAGGAGTGCCCTTTGCCGCGCTGATGTTGCTACATGCCTTACTTCTTGCCTATCTCACACTGCGATTTTTTTCTAAGCTCTATACTAAACATTAAATCTGTTACAAAAAAAGAACTAAACAAAATCAACACAAAACGATCAGCCTTAAAAAAGAACTCGTAACTGGAAAAACCGAATGAAAAAAAAGAATGTTAACAACAAATACTTTTTCACACCCAACCCAGTTCTGCGGAATCATAATCAACGTTGAGTTTAATCAAGCGAATGAGCCAATTGGAGTAAAGTGCCATGCAGATTTAAATTTTTCACACTTGTGACGAATGCAGCTATCGATTTTTTTTGCATGCTAGCATGCTAGTTAACATTCATGTCAATCAGCTGTTGGCTCTCAAGCTGGCCAATAGAATCTTCCTGCCTATTCGTAGCAGCCAGCTATAGGCACTCACTCTGTCCAGTAGAAAATGGCCGCAAACAACATGAAAACGGCCGTAGAAGCATGAAAATATCAATTATTTCCACTATCAATGGGAGTTGGGAAATGCAAAGTCGGTCTTGGCT